ACAATTGGACACATGGACTAACAAAGACAAAAAACTGCTGGCTGCCAGTAAGAAGGCCATCATGAGGAAATGGATGAAACCAGACCCCCCCACTATTGATGAATGGATTGAAATTGTTTACCAGATTTATGTGATGGAAAGGATCTGTTTTTCCCTCCAATTAGAAAAAGAAAAATGTTATCAGATTTGGTCCAGATGGACTGAGGACGTGAAACCAATTAGATCCGACTTCATTTGATTGTTCTTCTGAAATCTGTCTCGCTCTCTAATGTCTTTGTGGTTTTTATTACTCGAGGCGGTGCAATCCCCATTACTGTTTAATTCTGTTCATTTTTGGTTTTCTTTACAATTAAGTTAGAGATATTCTGTTAAAAATACCAGAAAGGCAACATGGACAAAATCACTTGGACTTTCTGCTTATATCTTCAGTTATAATCTTAAAGGATGAAGCTGTGATTACTGATGTGATGGAAATCTGTCTTTCTAAATAAAAAAATAAAAAAATTAAAGACCTATGAAAGACTGATTTAAGACATTTTTATACCAATTAAGGCCTTAGTTTTATTTTGAAGAATTCAATGCCTTTTAAGACTTTTTAAGGACCGCCCCCCCAAGCACCTTAACTATCGAGTGTCTCACTGCCTTCCACTCCAGAACGGGACGGCTTCTTCCCTCCAGCCCAGCGGAAAGGAAAGCAGTCGTTGCTATGGCAACACAGTGACGACTCTAGGTTAACATAACATCAAATATTTGCCCATTTCTAAAAAAAAACACATGTATACGGCCACATAAAACTATTTCGGAGACGGACCTTCCATCTTGGAATTAATTACGTTTTTTTTGGGATTTTCTGTCCGTGTGACGAAGATGCAGCCGGAGTTGGACAGAGATTCCCAGCCTTTAACTTTGGTCGTCCACTTCCGCTTATTTAGCTAGCACCAGGCTAGCTGAATATTTCATTTTTTTAAATAAATATTTAATTTGGAACTAAATATTTATTTAAAATCGAAATATTTAATTCGCAAACTAAATATTTATTCAACAAAGTAAGATTTTTATAAGCAAATGATGGTGAAAAGAATAATACTTGTTCCATTGGCAAAGTTTTACACTTATCACCTCAATTTAAGAAAAACTGCACTTATTTTAAGAAAAAATGACTTTTTGAGATTTCAATTTTTTTCTTCTCTCTATGTTTTCCTTCCACCTAACTTTCCATTTACTGCTGTGAGCAGCCAGTCAGCTCTGCTCTCCTAACCTTGTTCTGGTAGAACCTTTAACAATCTTAGAACCGGGCTGTTGGGTTTTATTCGCTTTACTTTGTGGCTCCGGTTTAAACTGGATCTCGGTCATCATGTCGAACCGGTCATGTGAGGTTTGGGGGGGAGTGAGACGGGAAGTTGTTCCCCTGAAACGGACCACCCAGAGGCAGCAGAGGAGGACCAGATGGTTCTGGGTCACCTGGGCCTCAGCGTCTGCAGATGTTTGCAGATCCAAAGAGGCTGCAGCACTTTTCTCTCCTCTCATGAACTTTGACCTCCCAGGTTCTGCGGCCCAGTCATACCGATCCAAAAAAACAAAAAAAGCAAAGTAGAAACCGGAACCATCAGAACACTGAAGGCTGTGTTCCGGCGCTCCAGCTGAGAGGTTACTCCGATAGAGAAGCAAATAAAGTTCCAGTCTGCAGACGTAGCTCAGAAACATGGAGCCATTCCGGTCCAAAGCTGATCTGGATCTCTGGAGCTTGGATGATGGTTCTGGTCTGAGTTCTGATCTTTAAACCTGGATTCTGGTCCATGATTAACCTGTGAAACTGTTTCTCCTGCAGAGAGACGAGCTGAAGTGCCCCGCCCTTCCCAATGCCTGCACCTGCATCTCAGAGGCCAACGGGCAGCCAGGCCCCCAGGGGCCCGTGGTGAGGAAGACCTTCTGGCTCCAAGGAGCTTTTTTTCTGCTTCCTGATTCTCTGCTCAGAGTTAAAAGATTCTGAGAAAATAATCTGGTTAAAAAGGCACAGAGATGGATGGATGGATGGATGGATGG